ATGTCACGGCCATAATCATGTAAGCTAATAATTACATATAGAAATAGGTAGAAGTAAGTAAAAGTAGATAAAAGTAAGATAATTCTATAATATTTAATATAGAAGCTTCCTAGAAACTTCCTAGATGCTGCTTTGACTTCATAGGTGTCTTTAATTGACTTTTTGGATTAGAAACGTGGTCAACAAGTTAGCCATGTGCCACACATGTTGTTAGCTTGAAGATCAAGCTAACTATGTGGCCCACACGTAGAAAAACTTGCCTTGTAAGTCAAGGCATGTGTCCTACAAAGTCAACACATATTAGAGGTCCTATAGAACGTCGCCACGTAGCCCCTAGTTAGATAGTATATATAGAGACAAGAGTGAAGGCTTCTTCACTCTTGTCAACTCCTTTCTTGCTTCTAGTCCAGGTTCAAGAGTCTTTAAGTTTCTTGTCTTGTGGCAATAGCCATTCCAGTTTCCTTTTAATATACGTACTTGTTTATATTTTCACTTATTATATCGAGATAGTCTTTTGTATATTTTCTCTCATCGAGTCATTGTCCTTGACATATTTGTAGAAGCAAAACTCCCTAGATTTCGTTGTAAGGTCAATCTATTTGTTTCTTTTAACTGATTAACTTCTTATCAAAGACTCTGAATTTCTTCCATAGGTGTAGGTATAGTACCTCTATGATTCACATTGGAAATACGTGAGATTTTTACTCTTAAAGTATTGACAAGTTCATAAAGATTTGTAATAGTTAAAAATCTTTTCTCGCTTTTGCTGAGAGTAGCATCCTTAATCTTTTCCTCTATAGATATTACAACCAAATTCAAAAATTTAAATTAGAAGAGGGTAATCTACAACCTCTAATAAAAATTTCTTCAAAGAACGATAATCCACTTTCTTTAAGGAAAAGATTAGTATTAGAAAGATTTTTTGTTTAAAGATAAGTAGTCTGTAATCTTTAAAATATAAAAATAGAAATCAAATAATCCACTCTCTTCAAAAACAAGACAAAAAAAATATGTTGGCACTCTTATCAAACTATCAAGGACATGAATCTTGAAGAAATAAAATCTTCAATACACTCTTATATCACTGAAAGGAACTAAAAAGTCACTGAATTAAAATGGCTATTGCCAAAAACAAGAAGACTAGAAAGTCTTGAAACAAGACTAAAGACTAGAAAGGCATTGACAAGAATGAAGAAGTCTTTGCTCTTGCCTTCGTATATACTCTCTAACTAAGAGCTACGTGGCAATGTTCTATAGGACCTCTAATATGTATTGACTTTGGTATCCACATGTCTTAACTTACAAGGCAAGTTACCTATGTATGCGCTACATAATAAGCTTGTTCCACAAGCTACCAATACATAGTTAACTTATTGGCCAAGTTTCTAATCTAAAAACACACCTAAAGTCAAAATCGCATCTATAAAGCTTCTAAGGAGCTTTTCTAGAAGACTTTATGAAATTAATCTATATTTACCTACTTCTACTTAATCATATAAATAACTATTGGAGTAAATATATACATGTATGATACAACCATGGTAATATATATATATATATATATATATATATATATATATATATTATCGGGTAGAATATCCATCACCTAAAATTATAATTGTTGAGTTTCAAAATTAAGATTCTTTGTTTATAGACAATCAGACTAACACTCCTATTATTGGAGAACTAAACAAGATAGATTAAGTTATTTATACTTAAATTAATTAAAATATTCAAAAAATATTATATAATATCAATTCTTGCTTAAAAATGCATGAAGCACCTAAATATGGAAGGTAAATAGAAATACAACAACAAGATTCTATCAAGTCTAATAGAATCTTAAATAAACTTTAAGTAACTTTTAATGATCTTATTCAAATTTTAACCAATTTTTTAAAACTTTAAAAGTCATTCCAAAAGAAAGATAAAGAAATTATAAATTAACTTCAAAAAATATAATAAAAAAATCCTAAAAATATATTAAAAAATAAAAAATCTTTAAAAAATAATAATAATCTTTTTAAAATATTAAAAATAAAAATATTTAAATAAATAATAAAAAATATTAAAAATATAAATAATAAATAAAATTTATAAAATTCTAATGTAAATCCTAACAAAAAATCTTAATGTAGTCTTAAATAAATCTTAATGAGACTTTAATAATCTTAAATAAATCCTAACAAAATCTTTATCAAATCTTATATCCTAGGCCAAATCCTAATTAAATCCTAATCAAATCCTAAACCAAATTTAAATCCTAATTAAATCCTAATTAAATTCTAAAAAACTCAAAAAAGGTCTTAAATAAATATTAAACAATTATTGTAGTTATTTTAAAACGTTAATAAATATTAATTGAACAATTGATCTTAACTAAAATTTTACTTAGAATTCAATCTACATGCAATTAACAAGCACATAAAATTTGAAAAGAATTAAATTCACCAATCGAAAGAAAAGCTTCCAAAACCTCTCAGATGTTGGTTGTCTTCCTTCTTCAACATGAATATTGATCTTCCAATAGCAATTTTTCTTTGCTGAATTATTCAATTGCTTCAAAATTTTATTGATTTATAAATTTTTAAGTCTAAATGGCTTTCACCAATTTTTGCTTCAATCAAACTAAAAGATGTTGCAAGATCATGAAAATCCTTATTGATCCTAAATTTTAGTTATCTAAGACCATAACTTTTAAAAACTCTCACAACCTTCAATCTAATTGTTGAAATAATATTAAATTTCTTACAAAAAATTCAAAAAATCATAGCAACAAATTAAAAAAGTTTTACTTGTAAATTTGCTACAATACTTACAAAATCATCAAATTTGTAAACTTATTTTTATTTTTCAAATTCTAAAGCCATTAAGTACATCTTTCACTTTGAAAATCCTTCAAAACCTCAACATGCTATTAAAACACATGAAATCAACTCTCAAAAATCCTCTCACAAGTCTTCTTCCAAATTCTACTCTTTGATCAACCAAAGAACCTTAGAGTCACTATAGATGTGTAGTTTTGTACCTCAATATCTGATTTTGATCTTAATTCACAACCGGTTCTTTGTAGGTATTAATTCTTTATATTTTGAGGTTATTTTTCCTAAAACCTATTCTTAATTCCTTCTTAAAAATGTCTATATCAATTATTTATCTTATTTTCTTTGATTTGGCTCACTAATGCCCTTACAAAGTAAATAGAAGACTCTTCTTCAAAAAAGTATCATTTATTAATTTTGTGACCTCCTTATCTATTATCTATTTTTCTAAGATAATTTGTTAAAGTATTTTTATTTAAGATCCTTTATAATATAATCTTTTCTTTCTTTATTCATCATATAATTATGATATGACACAACAATGGTAGATGGAGAAATTTATGGAGTCACAATTATTAATGATTCTATAATTGAAGAAGTTAAACTACACTAGATTTTATATATTGAAGAAGTTAAACTACATATTTTTTCCTAAAAAGAACTTAATGTTTTTAGGAAAATTTTAAAAATGCAAGAAATTTCATTGTATTCTCAATTGATTAATGTTATATTTTTAATAATGATCAAAAAAGATTAGTTACAATTGTAAAAAATTAAGACTTGATCAATGGATTATATAAGTTTTAAAATAAGACAATTGAGCATGTAGTAAATAAAGTGATTGCTAGAAAGAAAAAATGAAATTATAGCATAAAAAATAATTACACTTATATTTTGCAAGAAAATATATTTCAAATAAGCACATTTATAAATCCACAAAATTCTATTCATCTATCCTCTACAATACTCATAATATTTTTTAAATACATAAACTTCTTTTTATATCTCAAAATCTAAAATCATTGAAAACATCTTTAACTTTGAAAAACTCTCAAAAATTCAAAATTAATCCAAAATCACTTAAAAATAAGGTTAAAATAAATTCTCTAAGTTTCTTTTCTAATCTTGCTCTTTGATTAACAAAAGAACCTTGGAATTGCTGTAGGTACGTGGTTTTGTGCTTTAAGATTTGATTACAACCTTGATTCACAACCATTCTTCTCTTAATAATGATTCTTAGTTTTTTAATATAATTTTTGTTACAAACTACTCTTGATTCTTTTCTTAAGTTTCTGCATTATTTATTTTTCTAATCTACTTTGTTTTACCTTATTTATGGATAGACAAAGTAAATAGAAACCTTCTTAATAAAAAATCAATATTAATATTAAATATTTTTATTACCTCTCTATCTTTTACTTATGTTTTGCTACTATATTTTTCAATTAGGCTCTTTAATAATAGAATCCATATTTTTCTCTTTCACCATAAAGTTATTTTTTATAATACAACATTATACATATAGGAAAATTGCCTTACAAGTTGGATTTGTGTCTCATAAGTTGGACATATATTTGAGGTCTTTTAGAGCAATGCCATATAGCTCTTAATTAGATAGTATGTGTAGAGGCAAGAATGAGCCCTTTCTCACTTTTGTCAACTACTTTCTTACTTTTACTCTAGTTTTTTAATCTTTGGTAATAGCCATTTGAGTTTCTTCTTGAATATACATACTTATTTATTTTTTGTTATCTTTCTTTGATAAATGTCTCACTTGTTTATTTATATACTTTGAGTTCTCATCCTTGAGACTTATTTGTACATATATTCTTTCTTTTATTATTATTATTGTGTTCTTAGTTTTGTATCCAACCTTGTAAGGAATGTAATACCTTATTTCTTCCAAACTATTTTATGTCTGGGTCTATTGTCCTTGCATCTTAAAGAAGATAGATCATAATTCAATATGCAAGGATACATAGACAACACATAACTCTACTTGTAGTCTTTTGTAACTTTAAAATTAGTATCCAAAAAAACAAAATTTTCAATGAAACCAAATTTATTATAATTTTTTTCCTGTGCGGTTCCGTTCAGCATCTGACAGTCAATTTTGGCAGCGGAACTTCACACTGACCTTTCCAACGGGCAGACGTCTTTGCTCCCACACCATCGCTTTCTTCCGGTACATATTTACTTGCCGGAGATGGAAGTTTCGTGATAGACGTGAGAAGGGCTGAGCCAGTAGTGGTCGCCTCGTCTTTTGGCGATACATTTGGTGGGTTCCCTTCATGTCAATGTGTTGTACGTGTGATCATCTTTACTAGAGCTTAAGTTTGAGTCTTGTGGTGTCATAGTGGTGCCGATGTATTGCTCCCAAGCAATATTCGGTGACGCCGCTTTGGTCGTGAACGCCAGAAAGTGTCCAATCGGAGCTGGTGTGAAGCTGGTGCGAGCCTCTCATCTGCCTAGGTTGAAGAAGCGATCTCTTGGGTCAGTGTCAGATTGGGACGGCATCAGGTTGGTAACATTTCTCGTCAGTACATTTTGGCCCCCAACCCTGTACCCGTTACGAAAGGCCACCGCACCTCAGAGTTGCTAGGTGCTTTCGCTTTCTCTGACCATGGCGTGAATCATGTGTTGATTAAGTCTTATATTTATTTTCTTATGAAATGTAACCAAGAGGGTCGGTTTCGTGGCATTGGTAAGGATAACTGCAGGAAATTGAGATTGCGACTGATCAACAGAAGTAAATTGGGTTCAGGAGCATCCAGCGCATGTCGGCACCTACCACGATGGGGAGTTGTGATCGTCCCAGAAACTGTCTACTTGGAGTGACGCTCCGACATTTCACAGCCGAGGATATGAAACTTAGTCTAAAGTGGTTTGGAGACGATGAGGTGACCGTGACAACCCCAAATGACTCTTTCCAGTCGGAAGGAGAAGCCCAACGGTACTTCGCAACCAACATTGCGGGACACCCCTGGTACCGTCTGATTTGTGTCGACGGAGAACCGGCAGGCGCAATATATCTGACTCTTAATAAAGGGGCCCACCGCGTCCGTGGAGATGTCAGCTACATTCTTGCCAAGGAGTATTGGGGCAAGGGCGTCATGACCGAGGCAAATGCGCTTGCTGTGAAGGCCGGGTTTACAGAATTTGGGCTCCACCGTATCCAGGCCTACACGCTGCCGACCAACATTGGATCGCAACGGGTTCTGGAGAAGTGTGGGTTTCAACGAGAAGGTTTGCTGCGCAATTTTGTCAGGTTGAGAGGCAAGCTCAGCGATGTATTCGTCTTTGCAATCTGCAGGGATGACCAGAATGTCGACGAATCGGGGCAGTAGCAAACCAGTAAAACGAAATTAGCTCAATACCCTTGCTGAGACACTTCTGCACAGCTGGATACATGGTATTGAAATCTAATTTGAACTGACTCAGTCATCCTCCATCCATTTATTTATGGTATGCTCACTTGATGAGTGATTTTCACACTTGCACTTTGAAGTTATACAACTCAATGCACAATATTGATCACATTAAACTCTATAATTCCACACCTAGATGGGTAGATCATGCATGAACAACCAATCAACCCATCGACCAGTTCATCTATCCTGAGCCGAGCATTCGAGAGTTCTGCTTAGCGCTCATTGTGAGCATGTGCGTGGTGTGGTTGGAGTACAAAACAGCAAGGGACGTATCTTGACGAGATAGACTCTATGCTTTGCCTTGTGAGTTGAGATTGAACGAACTTGACGCTAAACTGAAAATCTTAGGCGTCTTCAAGTCGTGTACTTTACAAAATTCATCCAACAATCTATCCAACTACAGAGCACAAATGAAGACAGTGCGGCATCCTGCGTTCACAACACCCGTGTGCAGCTCAATTCTCACACTGGTGATATAGGCACTTACACGTTCACTTGCTTGTAAGATATGGCACCACAGACAGTTCGCCACTCCTACATTTAAGTGCGTAAAGTGATGGGATTGCAGCCTGGAAGGCAATGAGCTGCTTGTGCGGATGATATCTGGTACACTTCTCTAAGTACTGTGGGCAGAGGGCATAGCCAGTCACCCCTGGAGGAGTCAGAGGCCCAGCACCTAATTCCAGATCACTTGGATGAGAGCTGAGCATCCTGATTATCCACTCTACATCAAACACGCCCTCGCAGATGAGGCTGCCTTCTCCATACCGGCATGCACCCACACCATCATTCGCCCCTCGACATTGCCATCACACCGTCATCGGGAGCTGCTTGAGCTTTACGCTCCCACGTCCCAGCCCAGCTAGTTGGTTGATGCAACCAGCCTCTTCCATCAAGCAACTACCTGCTGCCTGGTAGGATCTAGACCAGGCGTAGCAGTTTCCGAAGCAAGCCTATCCAAAGATTTCCTCAAGCCTTGAAACTGGGACTGTTAAATTGAAGCCTTGGGGCACTAACGCGTGAAACACAGGCTGGTGATTTCTCCTGGTTGGTGGTCTTTGCGCCGGATTCTAGTTCTAAATCCTAATCCCTAGACCTGCTGTACTAGTCTATACTGTTAGCTTCGTTGTGTTACAACAAATGAGGCGTATACAAAAGGTGTTTCCTTTCAGCGATAATCATGTTTGTAGCGACATGAATAGTGCAGCTTGACGAGGACTAATGATTAGGTGAGAGCCCCTGCCAATGTGCTTGATCGTCAGAGCAAGTCGTAGGGTTCTTCCTCTTCAAAAGCTGACCTTTGAATGCAGAGAAAGAGTTTCATGTCAAGATAGTGATCTGAGAGGGATGATGAACCAAGTGTCCTAAGAGTGGCTTGATTGTGCCCTCCTGACAGGTCATAAAAGCGTATGATCGTCACTGAACCAGGAACGAATCTCAGCACACAACTCAAGCCTTCTTAACATCGAAACTTGATTCGCCGTAAGCGTACGAGGTCGCTAAAATAACGCTCACACAAGCTGCGAAACCCCTCTGCTGCATGACATGCGGCCCGCATGTATATGCAATGTAGCTGGGCAGTGCGGTCACTGCAAGCCGACATATTTCTCTGCGGAACTTAGATCAAGCATATGCGAGAATCTCAAGAAGGTAATCTACTTTGAGTGCTCCAAAAAGTTCCGCATCTTTGATCAACTAAAAAATATAGCTTAGTATCCGACTGAGTGCTCAGCAGGTCAACTTGGTAGCCAAACCTGCGAAAACACGTTGCATACCTTGGGGCCTTCGAGCACCGATGAGATTTCCACATTGGTCGCTTCAGTGAATTCGCTACCTCTAGAGTCGAAATGAAGAGATGAGCATAAGCAGAAATTCTCGGGCAGGGCAGCAGAGGGAAACGTCCTGACGTCCTCAAGACAGATTCTGCACCACCACCCGTGTCGGGGCAGGCCTGTATCATGCATGCCACATCGATGCCTGCAGACGCCAGCATGAAACAGAAATCTCCGAAGCAAACAAGCGTCACTTCGCTCATCCGCAGTGATGGACTACCAAAAATAGGATTTCATTAGCCGTCCTTGTCATACTCATAACTATCTCACCTCCAACGGAACAACTATATCTCCAGCCTGAATTGAGCATGGCGGTTTCATCGTTACGGCGCAATTGTCCGCTTGCCAATTTCACGGGGATGTCGTCGGGCATGCTCTACCCAAAGCTTCCATTCAGCTACACCCGATACTCCACAAAGCAGACAAGGAACTACCGTTTGCCCGAAACATGTCTTACACCTTCCCCAACCTACTTTCCCTTTCACGCCAGCTAACCCAGGGCGAGTCGGAAATCCACCCTCTCCCATACACCTCCCGCACGTCAACCAACCCTCCCCATCTCCGCAGAGGCCACACCAAATCCCTTCACCACCTTGACGAACCCCATCACTCAGGTCCGCGTGCGCAACACCCGACTTGGACTCAATGTACTGTCCATGGACCTTCAATCTGCTCGAGGTAACAGATGACTTCAAAACTTTCGCAGATAGGCACTGCCCGACCTGCAACGACAACAATTGTTAAACCATAAGCCCCACAAACCCTAACAGAAACACAGGAAACGAGCGCAAGGCACAAAGTGGTGTAGAGAGGCGCAGAGACTAACCAGAAGATCAGGCGAAGCGGTTCGAACGCAACATTGGAAGCCGGAGTGCGCACAACCCACATTCAAAGTAGCCATAACAGAGGAACCCAAGCTCTCAGATTATGCTGGAGTGGAGTGACGATAAGAACAGATGGAAATGCAACGCAACGCAACAAGTTTGTCATGTGACAGTCGGCGCTGGCGGTGCTTGACGCTCATAGCTCTGCTTTTCTACCTCCCCAATACGCCTCCTCTACAACTTCGTCGATTCTTATTGAAGTCGCAGTTGATTGAATTATCCTTTCGTGTTAAGGATTAGTGATTTGGACATGTAGACAACACACAGCGATTTGTTGAGATGGTTTTGTTTGCCCTGATTCTGTTTGCAGAAACTTGAACTCTCATGATTTGCTCACTAATCTTCATGTACTTGTGTTTACTAATGTTGATAATTGATACTTTGACTGGTGTTTGATTCTTACACTTGAAGTTGCAATAGGCATGTTGACAATGTGCTTGTCTGGTCATGTAATTATGTTTTTGTAGTATACTTTGTTTGAGAAGAAGAGGAATTAGAAAGATATTGTTTTTGTAGCTTATTATACCGACCCTTATTTTTACCATGACTGACTTTGAATTAAATGCAAAACATTGCAAATATATGTAAATAATTATGTCAAATGTATGCTTTTGATTATAAAATTCTAGCACATATCTGTCTTTGCTGTTGATTTTGAATTAATACAATTTCTCAACCTATTGCTATATGAAAATATATATTTTTTACATCATGTTTAATGATGTTTCACTTTTACTCTAATAGATCAAGTAGTCTATAATTGTTGCATAGTTGTAGTAATGACATTTGTTCTTGCAAATGATACAGAAGTATTGTAGGTTTTAAACTATTGGATAGCTAATTTCTTCTTCTTTTTTTCTTTTACTATATATATATATATATATATATAGATATAAATTTTATATTTATAGATCACTTAGATATATTGTGATATGTTTTGTTTTTTATTATTTATTTATTTATTTATTTACTATTATTATTATTCTTGTTGTATTACAAAACAATCCTCTCGTCTTGAATGATTTGCAAAAAATAATACTTTTTATTCCTTCTTCATTTATTTTATTTTTTAATTTTAATATAAAATTCACACTTCAATATATAGTATAATAATTTTAGTTTCCAAAATAATTATGATTTGGATGCCATGTCTCCAATACAAAGGTTAAGATTATAAAGAATAGATACTTAAAAGAATTTAATTTTTTCATGTTTGTTATATCTATAAAGTTATTTTGCATTTTTTTCTATCTTTGTTTTTTATATTTGTACTAAACAATGTCACTTTTTTATTTTAATTTTTCCAAATTCTTCTTGTTTAGTTATTTGTGCCAATCATATAAAAACTAAGATGTTTTAGAAAAGACACTTTAAAGTACTTTCTTTCTCTCAAATCTCTTTCATCATCTTTTTATCTTTATACCACCCTCCCTTCTCAATTTGACAACATCCCATCTACCTTACAAATAATATCTAGGTAAAAAATCCATATAAATATTTAGGTAGAATTAAAACTTCTATTATCCATGTCTATGTTATAATACACAATTCACTTCTATAAAGTGTTTTTTTTTTTTTTTTTTTTTTTTTTTCTATTTGTTCTTATATTCTTTAAAATTTATGAAAAGAAATTATTGTAAATGTTGTGAATTAAAAGCTATAAAGTTTAGATTTACTTGCAAGACATGCAAAAGCTCACAAAAAATGATTTCTATCTCACTAATTTATTGTAAAATTTATAATTCTATAAATTTTGACTTAAAATTTGTAATGTTTGTAAAACAATTAATATATATTTTTAAATTATTGACTCTAGAATATTATTTGGAGACATATAACAAATAAACTTATATATGTATCTATAATAAGATATTATATTGTTTATTAAGTTTTACTATATTTTATAAGCTTGACTTATAATCTTTCTAATTATTAATTAGAAAAATACTACAAAGATAACATCTTCTAATAAAAACTAAATTAGGTTTAGATATTTTGATTATTTAGATAAATCATTTTATAAACACATACATTATATACAAATCAAAATAATAAAAAAAAGAGATTAAATAGAGCCACATTATTTCCAAAATAAGACAAATATATAAAGAAATTATTTAAAGATCATAGTTTTTAATAATAATTATACATTAGCTAAAAATAATTATTGCAAATATTTTTAGAAGAGTGTTAAGTAGATTATCTTTTATTCTTGTATTTTATATTGTACATTTATAAGGTTTTTTGTTGATTCCCATATGCAATTGTTGATATCATATCCATGCAAATAGACCAAATATTCAAGCCTTCCATGTCTTATCCTTGAATCTAATACCTCTTCTATCTCAAATTCAATATGATCATTGATTTCAACCATAGGAGATGGTGGTTGTCTTTGATCTAGTATGTTTGATTCTTTATACCTTTCCAAAAGTGAAACATGAAAGATTGGATGAATCTTCATGGATGAAGATAATTCTAAGTGATAAGTTACATAATTAATTTGTTTCTGAATCACAAATGGTCCCAACCTTTGGTAGTCCAACTTATCACATAGCATGTTGGTTTTTATATTGTGCCAAAGAAGCCATACTTTGTCACCAACTTGGAATATAAGTTGTTCCTTCCTCAATTCATCGACCATTAGCTTATAACATTATTGACCCCTTTTTAATTGAGTCTTCATGGTTGCTTAAAGTTTGGCTATCTTCGTAGTAAACTCCTCTATTGCTCAATTTGTCGACTTTGAAGGCTTTATTATATTCAATTTTAGATGATAATCGTAGTTTAAATAGAATGGCGTTTACTGCATAGATGCATGGATTATATTGTTATATACAAACTCCACCAATGACAAGTAGGAGGTCCAATTGTCTCGTTGATAGTTGATGGTACACCTCAAATATTGCTTAAGAATTTGGTTGATCTATTTTGTTAAGCCATTAGTTTGAGGGTGGAAGGCAAAAGAAAAGTTGATATCAATCTTAAGAATCTTAAATACTACCTTCCAAAACCTTGATACAAATTGTGGCCCATAATTTGATACAATATCATCTGGCAACCTATGGTAACGATAGACATTGTCAATAAAGAGTCTTGCCATCTCTTCACGAGTAATTGACTTCTTGTAAAGTATAAATTATGCCATCTTCATCAATTGATCAACAACTATGAAGATAGTGTCAAATAAGTTTGATGATGGAAGATATGTAATGAAATCCATAGAGATATATGATTATGGTTGTCTTGAAATAGGAAGGAGTTGAAGAAGTCGATATGGCCGATGTTGAGGGTTCTTTGACCTTGAACAAGTATCACATGATAGTACAAATTCCTTAACATCCTTTCTTATTTTAGGCCACCAAAAGTCTTTAGATAAAAGTTCCAAGGTCTTATTGAATCCAAAATGTCCGGCTGCAAGGAAGTCATGGTGTATTTGAAGAATGCACAAGCGAGTTGGTACTTCAAGAATGAACAAAGGTTCTTCAAAGAATAAGAATTTGTCTTCATGCTTGATTTAAAAGACTCTTCAAGAAAATTGTTGGCAAGATGCTTGATATTAAGAAAAAAAAGGTCTATGTTTGAAGCTTTAAAAACCTAATCAAGAAATGATAAATCCACAGGTATTGATATATTAGTTATTTGAAAATGAAATTACTCTGGTTTTAATAAGATTACCTGTTGTTGATCATATACTGTCTCGCCTTCTTTTGGTTCAAGGTAGGAACGTCTTAATAATGCATATGATAACTCTTATTGGCTCTCGGATCAATATGTAATGCAAAAGTCAAATCGTGATAAAGATATACTTCAACGAGCTTGGTGATGATTCAATACTCGAATTGACATAAAGTATTCAAGATTCTTCTGATCTATATATATAATCATCAGATGAAAAGCACCTTCAAGCAAGTGGCGCCATTCTTGAAAAGAATCTATGATAGCAAGTAGTTCTTTATAGTGGATTTTGTAATTAATTTTTGCCACTAAAATTTTTTTAGAATGGAATGTAATTGGATGAAGTTTGCCATCTTTTCTATATTATGACAAAACTACTCTCAATGTAAAGTCTGAAGCATTGATCTCCATAAAATAGGGATTATTAAAATTTGAATGTATCAAAATTAGAGCTGTTGTGAAAGCATCTTTTAAGCTTTGTAAACCTTTCTTTGCTTTGGAACTCCAATCTAATTTATCCTTATATGTCAACTACATAAGTAGAGCAGTAATCTTGAAGTAATTCTTAAAAAAAATCCTGTAGAAATTTGCAAATCCAAGAAAGAATCAGATATCATATATAATTTTTAGCTTTGCCTAATCAATGATTACTTGTACTTTCTTTGAATATAAAAAAAGCCTATTTTAGAAATAATATATCCAACAAATTTGACTTGAGGTGCATGAAATACACACTTCTTCAATTTTACATATAGCCTAGCACTTCATAGTTTTTTCAGCACAAAATGGATATGTATTTCATGGTCTTTTGGATTCTTGAAAAAATTCAAAATATCATCTAAATAGATCACAATAAAGTCATTGAGATACTTGAGAAATATATCATTCCTTAAGTATTGGAATATGGCTGAAGCATTGGTAAGTCCAAAAGGCATGATATTGTATTCAAAATGTCTATACCTAGTGCAAAATGTTGTCTTCCATTCATGTCCTTCCTTAATGCGTACCAAGTTATATGCACCTTATAGATCAATCTTCATAAAGATCTTTTCTTGGCTAAATTGATCAAGAAGTCCAGATATCAACGACAATGGATATCGATTCTTTATCGTGATTTTATTAAAACCGTGATAATTGATACACATTCGTAAAGATCTATCTTTCTTCTTCACAAATAATATTAGAGTACCACCTGGTGACTTGGAATATCAAATAAAATTCTTAGCCAGATTTTCTTCAATGTACTCTTTTAAAGTCGTAAGCTCATTTTGGAATAAATTATAAATGGGTCCAAACGATGGTTGAGCATCTTCTTCAAGGTCAATCGTAAAATTGTTAAGATGATGCTTTGGCAAAATATCTACATTTTTCTTTTCAAATATATCTGCAAAAAATTTATATGTCTTTGGAATTGTTGTTGTAGCAACCACAAGTTCCAATTGTGGATTTGCATAGACAACAAATGTAGTACCTTGTTTGGTTGTCCTTATAAATACTCTAGCTCCAATAAATAAATGTTATTTAAGTTTTGG